GCACTCGAATCAGAGGCGACATCAACATCCTGCTTATAGGTTAGACTTGTATGAAGTCATCAATTTTTTTTATGACTTTTGAATTGATGCATAAGTAAACTTCAGTGGAGCTTGATCAGGTTGTTCTGTACATAAAACATTGGGATGGTGATGTACCTATTGTAATCTTCACAAACTAGTGCATCTTCTAGATTATTTGAGCCAAATGCTTTGTTTTTTGTTTTGTAGGTGACCCATCAGTTGCCAAATCTCAGTTGCTGAGGTATGTCTTGTTCACAGCACCAAGAGCCATTCCTACCACCGGACGAGGCTCGTCTGGGGTGGGTCTAACTGCTGCGGTTACCACTGATCAAGAGACAGGTGACTAACATACAGTACAAGTGTGGGTTGTTGTAATATTGGAAACATTAATCGACATGGGTACTTGTAAGAGAGAAAAAATGAGTTTACCAGGAAAATGACTTTAAAGTCTTTAAAGCTTTGTATACTTTTGCCAGCTTCTCGATGCTTGTCTCTCAGGTGAGCGCCGGTTAGAGGCAGGTGCCATGGTCCTTGCTGACAGAGGGGTTGTGTGTATTGATGAGTTTGACAAGATGTCTGACATGGATCGCACAGCCATCCATGAGGTGATGGAACAGGGGAGAGTCACCATAGCTAAAGCTGGGATCCAGGCCAGGCTGAATGCTCGCTGTAGTGTGTTGGCTGCTGCTAACCCAGTGTATGGAAGGGTAAGATATTGTTTGTTAGCTTTGGGGTATGCTAACTTCTTGTTAGTCTTGTTTGATATGTAGTGCTTTATTAGCTTTTTTTTTTATCTACAGTGATTTACTTCCCCATTCAGTTAGATAAATTGTATAGAGTTTGGCGTATAACTAGATATATTTAAATGGGCTGTATTTGTCTCTTCCCTTCCCTTGCTCATGTCAGTATGACCAGTATAAAACCCCTATGGAGAACATTGGACTGCAAGATTCCCTCCTCTCTCGATTTGATTTGCTCTTCATCGTTCTGGATCAGATGGATTCAGAGAGTGATCGTGAGATTTCGGAGCATGTGTTGCGCATGCACAGATACAGACCCCCGGGGGAGCAGGAAGGAGCAGGTGAGGCTGTTATTTCATGGTGGAAATAAATAGGACCTACTGGACAGGAAATTGGTGCAAATGTTAGGTTTCACCCTATTGCTGTAAGTTTGAATGTTGATGCCATGGCTTCTGGAACCAGGAATCTGAAAGGGCATAATCAGCCCTGCTCGTGGGAAAGGATGCCATTCCTTCTTCCCTGAACCAGAGTGGTTAGCCAATCAAAGGCATTTGTTAGATTGCATAAACAGGGTAGCTGAACGCACTTGAAGGAAAGAGCCAACTTTCCAAGTACGTTGCATAAGTAGCAGTGGCTTAATGTGTCTGTGAAATCAGCCTTTGCCCTTCTGGATATCTATGTGATAATTCCCAACAAACTATTTATTTACTTGACAATACCTGAATTTAGAGAAATAAAATGATATAAAATCCAAACAAATTTTCTGCTATATTCAGAAACCAGCATGCAGAGCTTATCCATGTTGTACTGTTCTGGCTATCAGTTGGTTATAATTCTGTCCAGTTGGCAATATAATGTCTCTTGGTGTACTACATACTAAAACTGACTTTGATTTTGTGCACAACAATAGCGATGCCATTGGGAAGCACAGTGGACGTGTTTGCCACAGAGGACCCAAACATCACTGAGGCCACTGAGCAGGAGCTGCAGATCTATGAGAAAAAGGACAATGTCCTCCATGGCCACAGGAAGAAAAAGTAAGCCTAAATTATTTTCATTGCTTTCACATACAAAATTTTTTTTTCCATCAGTGCACCCCATTGAAATAGCAAACTGTAAAAGGTTTAAACAAAATGGATGGTGGAATAAGGATAGTTTCTGTAAAACCCATGACCAAAATTGGTCTTTTAGGGAAAAGATTGTCACCATGGAGTTTATCAGAAAATATATCCATGTGGCTAAGCTAGTGAAACCGGTTCTGACTCAGGAGGCTTCGGACTACATAGCTGAGGAGTACACCAAACTGAGAAGCCACGACCAAGTCAATAACGACTTGGCAAGGGTGTGTATCTGGGATCTCACTGAGACTTTGTTGTACATTGCAAGTTTTAGTAATGTCTGTTTATTTTATTTGATTTGGTTTTAAACTTTGCTACAGACAATGCCCGTCACAGCACGTGCCCTAGAGACTATGATCAGGTTGGCTACAGCCCATGCTAAAGCCCGCATGAGTAAAACTATTGAGTTGGGAGATGCAGAGGCTGCTCTGGAGCTCATGCAATTTGCCTATTTCAAAAAGGTAATAGTATGATGAGCTTACTTTAAAAAAAAAAAAAATCGAAAATATCAACTAAAACCAAAAGCCTATTATAATTGGTTTGTGTAGATTCTGGAGAAGAATAAGAAGAGGAAGCTTCCTGAAGATGGTGTGGACACAGAGATGGATACGACTCAGAGCCAGGAGACCCAAAGTCAGAGAAGTGTCAGGTCTGAGATGATTATTAGTTTTGGGTTTGCATACAATATATTGAATAGTAGTGGTGCCTTAAATCTGATGTGATTGACGCATGGATTGGTACTGTCCACAGAAAACGTTCTCGTGTATCTAAAGATGACATGGATTCAGCAATGGCAGAAGACTCTGACGACCCATACGACTTTACAGAGGATGAAAACAGTCAGAGATTTCTATCACTTGCCAACATGACCACATAAACTGTTTCAATTGTTTTTACTCTCACACATTCAGAATTTTGTTTGATAAAGCTGGTTGTGCTTTCTTTTACCATAGCCCAACCCAGTCAACCAACCAGGCCAGTGTCTCAGAGGAGTAGCCAAAGGAAGAAGACTGACATCACTCAAGACAGGTAGAGTTTTGTAACTTTTTCCTTTCAACCCCATGCTGCAATTCTGTTTTTTTTAATAGTCCCTGTAATATTTCATTTCCCCATCCTCATTCCATTGTTGTACTATAGAATCAAACAAATGTTTTTTGGTCTCAGGACAATCTTTTGTATGATTGGTTATGACCTACTTCTCTCTGAACTCTGTTCATTTTCTGGCATGCTATTTATTGACCCTTGTTTCAGAATGAAGGTTTTCAAGGCAGCCCTCCTGAAAGCATTCAAGGTGACCAGGTCTCAGTCTGTGCCAGTTCCTGAGCTTCTCACTCACGTTAACAAAGGCCAGTCTGAAGAATTTGACCAGCAGGAGGTGCAATTACTTTTGGAGCGCATGCAGGATGATAACCAGGTCATGGTGTCTGAGGACGTGGTCTTCCTCATCTGATAAAACAATGGTCTCTAGATGCGATCATGGAATTGTGATATTGTTGTATATCCTTATGTATTATTGTCTGTAGTGTTCATTGTTAGTAATTAATAAATAGTTTGAGCACTTATGAAGGAGTTTTTCTTTTTTGACTGATGAAAAGCAGGGGTGAATTGAGCTTAAACATTGGTTACAATTTTCTTTTTCACATATTTAAATGTTTAAATAGACAAGAAAAATTTGGCAAGCAATTATATATTCAATTTAATTTTAAAATTCATACACTGATTTAGTTGGATTAAATGCATATCAGTTAGATGCCATTACTATTTTCCATTATCAATTGAGCCACCTGGAGCATTTCTGCAAAGAAAGAAATAACCATAATTAACACCAAAACTTAGTGTCAATTATTACTTTATTTATTCATTTTTAAATATTATCTGGTCACTTACAGCCATCTATTCTCTCTGGTACAATCCCTCCCTCCGTATCTGTTGCTCCACTCCTTTGGAGTCTCCTCACACCATACACCACACTCGCAAGTGCAAGCAACAATGTAAGCACACCCACAAATGCAAAAAACACCACTCCTCTAGAGTTTACAGTGGATGTACTGGGTGAAGAGCTTTTCTCTTCACTGTAGGCAGCAGGCTGAGGCACAGGCTGAGTCTCCAAAAGTCCAGTCACATCTGAGCAAGAAAAGCAGATGAATAAAAACAATTATGAGTGCGACATTTGTGTCAAGGTGTTGTATGAACTAAAAGGGCTGTGATTAATAAATTTTAATATCTACATAAAAGTTGTCAGAATTTTCTTGGACATTAGCTCCAAATTCACCTTCTAGACTAAGGAGGAAGATGACATCATTTCCTTTGATGAAATCTCGACTCTTTAGACGGCTGTGTGTGATGAAAGAGCTGGTGCCAGTACCCGGTCCTCTGTAGTATGAGGTACCGTCTGGATTTTTTACCAGACTGCCCACCTTCCGTGGGTCATCCCAGAAATATTCTACATTGCCCAGAGCTTCAGGAAGGAAAGACATCACTCAACATTATAACCAGAATCTAAAATACTTGGTGTTATAACCGATACAACATCTGAACAATGTGGTAAATTTTAAAATCTCTAACTCACAATTCTCTAATTTCAAAATCTCTGCATGCTTTTTTTTCCTCTCCCTTGTTATATTTTTATTTCTTCCTTAATGATGAAGTCTCCCTGAATATTATAATTGTAAACTATTAAAATAATCTATGTAGGAAATAAATCATTCAATGTTTTAATGCCCAAATAGCTAATAAAAATTGCCTAGGAGCATATTTAATATTTTTAACTTAAGTAAAAATTGCATAATTGAATACACATGAATGAGTTTGGAAACACCACATGTTCTTGTCACTCCAGATAGCTAGTCTCGCAACTGCGTTACTGTTATCTGTTAGTATACGAGCTTGACTTTGCCACAAGTTGGAATTTTAGTATTGGTATTTTAGTATATTATAATTCTCAGTAATTTATTTAACAGTAGATGACGACTTCTTTCGGCTGCTCCCGTTAGGGGTCGCCACAGTGGATCATTTGTCCTCATATTTGATTTGGAACAGTTTTTACGCCGGATGCCCTTCCTGACGCAACCCTCCCCAATTTTATCCGGGCTTGGGATTGGCACTGGGAGAGCACTGTTGGTTCCCTGGCCAGGAATCAAACCCGAGCCATGATGGTGAGAGTGCCGAGGCCTAACCACTTGTCCTCCAGGGACCCATTTAACAGTAGACTAATGTGTCAAAATATACTATAACAATTCTGATTTTGTCTAGCACTAAAATTAACTTAGGTAAGCTAGTCAGGCTAGATTAGCATGCAAATTCTGTGGCTAGAAGTTTGGATAATCCTAAATACAAATAGGAATATTCCATCCAAGAAAAGATAACCATTCAAAAATGGTGTTTTTGAGTTGGTGGTGGAGGTCCATTTACTTTTATTCTGTGTTTCTTTTTTTTTAATTCTATATAGTTCATTTTGTTCTTACAGTCAGTGGAGGTCTTGCTGGGGTCAGTGGTGATCATTCTTTGGTTATCCATGCGTTGCTGAATATTTGGGTGCTGGTCCATCAGTGCTATGGTAGCCTGTCTCCATGGGCATGGCCATTTCAACTGGCTGTCATTGGGACCAGAAGTCAAGTGCAAGTACATGGCCATGTCATTAGAACTGCCTGATTTCCCATTAACATACAGACCAATCTGGAAAGAGTAGCCATCAGGAGATAAGAAGGTGGGGCTGTAGATCTTGGAGTCAACAGGTGTTGTGGCGAGGAGTCTGGTGAAGTTCTGGATGTGCCATGTATGGTGAGGGCATTGTGTCTCTGACAGGTTGATGTCATCCAGAGAGAGACCTCCTATGGACGCTCCCATGCCCTTCACCCCTTCGAACACTACCCGAAACTTCTGAGACGCGTCTAGAGTCACATGGTGAAGCTCCCAGGAGTTTCTCTGGCCACCTGTCTCAGAAAAGAATATATGATCCATAATGCAGAATTTGTACCCGTAACAATGTGTAAGAAGAACCTAATTCATTCTAAGCACTAAAATACTAGACTGTTCAGACTGTGTCTTGAAATCATGCATCAAATGATCAATTATTATTTCATCACTGTGTAAGTTACCGTGGAATGTCTGAATGAGTCTCAGCACTCCATTAGGGTTTTCATTGTTATATTCATGAACCCATATGTTTAGCAGGTCGTCAGCACCCCCGCTGTTGTACATGTAGAATTGCAGGCATTGACTCCGTCTATTAGGATAAAAGAATCGACTTTCCAAGTAAGCATTATCTCCAGGGTTCCCTGTGGCTGTGCTGAAATGCATAAAGAAACCTATACCTGTGATAAAAAAGTAAACAATTAGTTTTAAATAAATATAAATGTTTGCAGATACTCAATTTTAGCATTAATGAACATATTTAATATGTTACATTACAATCACATTTGGTTTGGTATAAATTCAATACAGAAACTCTATCTGAGCTTATTAGAATTTTTGGTGTTGTGTGCCTTTAAAATATCTAAAGATTAAAAAGGCCAAAGTGCTGGTGTAGCAGCGTTATAAAAAAAAAAAAAAAAAGGAAGCAAAGTATCAGCATGATCAGTGTCCATCCTAGTTTGCTCTTTTCCGAGAAGAGATAAGTGTTATCAGTGGACAGTCATGATCAATAGAATACAGTTTAAGGGCTATAAAAGTTACAAAACTGTTTTCAACTGTAATAAACTATGTTCATACCATTACACTGGCCCATGTTAGTGTAGTCTGTGTTTGGACCTCCATCTATACTCTTCACACGCACCCACTTTGCCTTTGCATCCTGTCCCTGGATCATACCACAGATATTGGGCTGCTCAAAGCTACAGGAGTCCAAGAAGGTAGACGATGTGGCTGGAAATGTAAAAAAAAAAACACACAATAATCAAAAGAGGAAGGTGAAAGAACAATCCTCCTCCTTAGGGCCATTCAGTTTGATGTTAATAGTACATTTCTTATAGGCTATATTAAATAATCATGATAATAATAATAATAATAATAATAATAATAATAATAAATATCAAAAAAGGACTTTAAAGGCTAAAAGGACTTTATCAAAGATTAAAGAGAAAGTAGGATTTTATTGCTATCATAAACAATGAGTTATGAGGGCAAGGGTGCACCTACTGCAGTTATACAGCCTGTTTAGCTTGCGCACATCACTGGAACTGAACTCCATGCGCTGGCCAATCATGTCCATGAACTCTGGAATCTTAGTGACGATGGTCGGTTTGGTGTCCTTGTTAAAGGCAGTCTTACTGTAGTGCATAACAGAGGTGTAGTCGTAAGGAAAGCCTAGAGCACTGGAGACTGTGTCATCATAGGTGTTGAAGTTGTGCTCTTTGCCTAGGAATAATGCAGTGTAATGAGTCAACCATAATGCAGAAAAAGGGTTGATTATAGGAAAGTAAAATTAGAAAGAAATAAAAAAAATTAGGGATGTTTACAATCCTGCCCTGAATCTTTGACTCCCTACTCCATACATAATGCAATACATAGAATATAGAACATTAACATTTACTCATTGTGGTGTCCTAATGACAACTATAAAGCCATTTGGATTTTAACATATTAAATTGATGGCAATGCCAATGGCATAGTTACCAGCTTCAATCTGGTCCCACATGATGCTGACATAATCATCTCGGTCGGCTCTGGATTGCTCGTGCCAGAAACCCAGCGCATGCAGGAACTCGTGCTCCACAGTTGCAAGGCGATCACAGTTGCTGCCAATTGATAACCTCTGCTTCCCTACATGACGATTTCCCACAGATGAAAAACATCTAAACATACACAAAAATGAGAATGGTGATAAGGAAGGGAAGATATTTCATTTTTTGTGCTTGCTTGCATATTAACGTTCTGTGCTAGTGCTGAGAAAATCTGCCTACAAACAATTGTGAGAGGCGCTGTTGGGCCCATGAGTGAGGGAGTTATTCTGTGTCGCTTGTAAGTCACTTATCATTGAATCAATGCAATTTTAAACTTTTTAAAAGAGAATGTGATGTGTCATTCGTTTCCAATCTTGATTTTAAGAATCGATTCTTCTTGGTCTGATATCCAGGATTGATTCTGGGATCATTTGGATCATTCCAATCCAAGGTTAAATGCTGTGCAACATTTCTACTCTGCAAAATGTTTTTATGAATTAAAATCACTTGAATTTAAATTCCTTCTTTGACGCATATATCAAGAAAATGATGTCATGTCTCTTATACAAACCATAATGTCACTTCCCTGCTATAGTGAAACCAAACCAGGACATTTTAAGCTATTTGACATTCAGTAGTTCACCTTCACACATTGTGTGGATCACACTTGAGATCATTTGAAGCAAACCTCAGTTCACTATTTTCAGGTTGACCAGAAGTTTGTCTGGTCTGCACCCAGTCTTCAAAATCAACCAGATGTTATGAACTCTTTCTGTAAATGGCTCTGGGTTCTGGTGTGGAAAAAAAGGGTATGAATGCCCGAATCTTCCTTACCCAGAACCTTTGAATACAGAAATGTAGTTTGGCTCTCCACTCCAGGGTTTGAAGTCAATGCAAGTTTTGAGTCGGTATTGCTCGAATGCTTTCAGGACCACTCCTTTAGCGTTGATCTCTGCGCACAATCAAAATGGTGAGGATATGTATGTTACTGGAATTATACTATCAGACAGGAATTTGTCTATTTGTCTATCAATTGTTCTTTTTTAAACAAATGATTGGAAAAAGAGGATAAGGCAGGTTCTTACCCAAGCTGTCCTCTAGGTAGTAAGGCACAGTGGTTGGCCAGCGATACTCTGCACCCAAAATACTGTTCTTGCCATCTCCCTGTTAACCACAGATTTATTCACGACAGAGTGACATTTGGACTACTGCCAATTAACATTAAATTGATGGACATAGATATAGACAAACTGTAATGTTACAGAAAATTGGCAAACAAATGATTCATAAAACGATGCACTGACCTTTTTAATCACTATGTCTCCCTCTACCAGATCAAGTCCTGCTTCTGTTACACAGAAATGTGAGGTCAGTTGTTAACAGCACACTAACTCATAGTGCAAGCATGGCACGAATATAAAACACAGAGCATTTGTGTTATTTTCAAACACACTCCATACTACACATTAGTGTAATATCTCATTCCTACCTTCATTTATGTCAACAATATCCCAGTCTTTTCCATCATCGATGTCCACCTCTGTAAAACCTAATATTAAAAATCCCAGAAATGATCTCATCAAAACATCATATTTTCCTGGTCCTGACACGAGTATTACATGCTTTATATATATATATATATATATATATATATATATATATATATATATATATATATATATATGTGTGTGTGTGTGTGTGTGTGTGTGTGTGTGTCTTACCTGAGAGAGTCGAAGCTGACTATAAGAGAAAGACAAAATATGACTTTTAGCAGATCATGATCACCGCTATAACGTTTAACAGCATGAGTGATTTTTTTTTTTAGTTGTTTTTTCTACATTCCTGAATATGTGTAAGAGGTTATTGTAACCATTCACTGCATAAAGGACAAACAGGACATCTTAAAGTAATATTTTTTAAAGTAATACTTTTTCTTTTTAAGCTTTCTAGAAAGAAGCAAATTTATCTGCCAATAGAATCTGATCATTTCATTTCAGTCAAATTGTTTAGAGATAGTGTTTAGAGATTTTTTTTATAATAACCTCATAGGAAATACTCCATACACTGCAAAAACTGTTGAATATCTTGAATAAAGGAAAGGTTATCTAATATTTCTCATAATGAGAGTATTATATAACAAGATCCTCAAGCCTGTAGTCAAGTTTTTAGACCTTTTTTTACTAAGATATCTTATTCAAAATATCTTCACCTCCTAAGATATAATGTTTTGCAGTGTACAAGGGTGAGTCAAATGAAAACTTTTTTTTTTTGCATATTTTGCATTGTTTATTGCAAATAGGTGTCAAAAAATTATCCAATTTTTTTTAGATAATCTCCATTTTGTTCAATGCAAGTGCTTCAGCACTTAATGAGCATCCAGATTCCTCTAGAAAAAAAAATATTCCAGTTGTTATTAATTTATGTCGCACTTTTAAGGTTTTTATTTGACTCACTCTTATATATATATATATTAACCTATATTAATGAAAATATCACTTCTGTAGTGTTATCACTTGAGAAATCCTGAAAGCAA